TTTCTTTGTCCGAAGATGAGGTGGGGTCGGATGGCAGGAAGGGCTTCATAAGCTCCTCTCGCTGCTGGGGGGTCAATTGCTTCCCTTGGTATGTGCCTCGGCGGAAGGCCGTCTCTTGCGCAGGCGTGATGCCCGTAGCCGAAACCATTGCGGGCGAGTCTCAGGTGTGACGTGACAAAACAGACAGTGTGGATGCAAATGAAAGAGAGAACAAAATGAAAAAAGGCAATGGGACCAGCGGGAACTGTTGAGTGCAATACGTGTCAGCGCGGCGGAGGATGTGAGATGATATCAGTGCGCAAAGTCGACAGGTTGAGCAGCCACGTTTGTGGCGCCTCCGTTGCTGCCGAATGGCCGGCCAAGCGCATCATCGTGGACGCTCAGCCCTGTCGAGGCGGTGTCATTGCGCGTCTGTCGTCGCCAGTGCCAAGCAGAATTCTGGCACGCTTTCGTGATCATGTCTTGGGGGACGGGGGCGCAAGCCACACGCCACGACCGCGAGCTGTGGGCGCTGGTGCACAACGCTGGACAGCAACAGCATCAACACTGGAGGCGTGCATGTGTTATTGTTGCGCCACACTTGCCAGGTCTTGCTCGACCATTCATGCGCCCCATCCATGACTTGCACCCTGCCTAAGGCGCCAGCTCGCGAAAGGCAACACCTGGCCAGACAGCCGGAGTACCGGTAGACGTGCGCGTTGCTTGCAATTGCCTTGCACGCTGGCCGCATGCGCGTCTAAGCCGTCGTCCAAGACGCCACCATGTCAAACTTCAACCCGGAGACGGCCTCGGTCCTCACGCATAGCACGTCGAGGACAGCGTCGGGCGGCCGCGCTCCGCAGTTTACGCTGGAGACGTTCTCGGTTGGCTGCCCAAGACCCAGGCTTCACCACGTTGCGCTGACCCTGCCAGAGCAAAGATTTCATAGTCAAGGACTTCATCGAAGAGCTCTCCGACAGCGCCGTGCCTGCGTCGCGGAAGTCTGCACCCACCTCGAGCCAGCAGGTCTTCGACCCTAAGCCCCTGATCCGCACCTTTGAGCATGCCCTGAGCCGCCTCAACAGCCAGTCCGAGGACCTTGAAGAGAGGGAGAATGAGCTCTCTGGGGCTGTTCGACGCGCCGAGGCACAACACAACCAGAACGTCGAGTCACTAGGCAGGCGGCTTGAGCAGGCTATCGATCGCTTCCAAAAGCTAGACAGCTCACTGAACGGCGGTGACGATGGAGGGTCAGACTCCGGAGGCAACATTGCCATGCGTATCGGAGAGCGGCTGGAAGAGCTGGACCGCCAGCGCAAGAGGGCCATGGATGCCAAATTCCTGATTGAATGCTGGCAGGAAGTCAGCGAAAGAGGCGAGCTCAACATCCTGGAAGACCACCGCAGGAGTGGTGGTATTGTGCGTTGCGCCGAGATTGCACGCCAGTTGCTGAGGATCAGTGCGCGTCTCGACCCTGACAACGGCCAGCGTTCCAACGGCGTCGAGCTGAATGGTAGCACGAGGAAGACTATGGCGCAGCCCAAACACAACACCAGAGAGGTCATCGAGAAGTTCTTGGAGAACCTGGAGCAAGACTTGCTCAGCAAGTTCGACGAGTGCTACAGAAGGCCGAATTACGATGGCATGCGCGACTGCGCTGTTGCACTGAGAGGCTTCAGCGATGGATCAAGCGTCATCGCTACCTACATCAGCCAGCACTCGTTCTTTATTGATCGCCACCAGCTTGTCTCGGAAGAACTTGCATTGAATGACGAGGCTTGGGATGCCCTCCAGGATCCGGACATGGAACCACCACCTGTCGAGCCCACATTACAATCTCTTATCGACGAGGTTAGAATCGTCGTACAGGAAGAATCTACCATCATCAAGCGAGCGTTCCCCTACTACGAAGAGGTACTCATCCGGTTTGTGGAGCGCATCTTCCAACAGTCAATACAGCAGCGACTCGAAATGGTTCTAGACAAGGCAAATGACTTTTCAAGTCTTGCCTTCCTGCGTGCGTTGGCTGCTTCACGAGCTTACATCACTCAGCTCGTTGAAGACCTCAAAGCTCACGGCTTGACTGAGCACCCAGAGCCTGTCACGTCGCAGGTTGCGGCCACTTTAGACCAACAACTTGACGAACTTTTTTCTCAATACTTTATCGGGTCGTCGTATATTGAGCGAGAGAAAAAGAACCTGGAAGAACTATACTCGTCTCTTCTTCTCAAATTTACCATCTACCATTCCCGCCGACGGAAAATGCCCACATCGTACTTTGGGTCACTTGCACAGCGAGGTAAAGAACTTGCTTCCTCTGCACGCGATGCGTACATGGAGCGTTTAGAGAGCACGGACTTGCCTGCCAGTCAAAAGGCGACTCTTCTCAGAATTGCTGGTGTGAAGGACGACCAACAAGACAAAAAGGAGATCGAAGTCACAGACGAAGACGGGAAACTGTCCCTGACAACTGCAAAGCGTATGCTGAAGTGGCTAGCTGAAGGCGTCGGACGTGGGTTGGAGCTGTCACCTGGCAATGAGACGCCCAAGGATGTTCAGAATCTGCTGAACTTGCTGTTACAGCAGATGGGTGAGATCTACCTCGAGACTGCTCTTGATGCGTAAGTTTATCGGTCCTTCGTCCTGCCTCGTACTAACTGTTGGAAAGTGCGTCCGATCACGCTGCGTCGCAAGAAAACACGAAAACACCACCTGACCTCACGCACCTCACTTCACTCCACGCCATGACCACAATATTACACCTCCTTCAACAGACCACTACCACCATACTACTTCCGCTTTGCACACCGAACCTGACCATTCGACGCGAGATTGAAAAGTCGACCAATACTACCATGTCAACGTTGGAAGCAAAGCTGTCCAACATCCTAAACCTGACTCTGACAGCATCGCTGAATTGGGTCAGCAAATGTCTGGCACAGCAGAAGAAAACTGATTTCCGGCCCAAAGACGATGCAGATCTAATGGTCACCAGCGAGACGGGAGCCTGTCGCGAAGTCTGCGCCTTCCTTTCTCGCGTCGCTCAGCAAGCGACGGGTGCACTCTCTGGTCGTAATTTATCGCTCTTCTTGGCAGAGCTTGCCCGTGGTCTGCGTGCGCTCGTCCTGGCCAACCTGTTGAAGTTTACTGTTTCACAAGTCGGTGGTCTTAGTGTGTCCAAGGACATGAACCGCTACGGGGAGCTGGTAAGAAGTTGGCCCACTGGCGAAGAGCTGGAACCAGGAGCTATGGATGTGCTTAGCGATGTAAGCACATTGTTCATCATCGGGCCGGAAGCTTTGAGAGATAGATTACGAGGTGCGGGGCAAGATGCTCAGGAGTTGAAGCTGTTCATTGCTAGAAGAGAAGACGTGAGCAGCGTTGGCGTGCAGAGTGTGCTCAACGGGATGTAGTCATGGCGGGATGGTTCGCCTTTGCAATCAAGGATTCACCAGGCTGTGCTCTAGTAACTTGCTTCCACAATGCATTCTCACGTATGTTGTTCTTTCTTCGACGTGGTGCTGTGATGTCAGGCGCGAGCCGACCAGCCGAGCGACGGGCCGACTACTTCAAGCTTATCACAGACTTGGTCCTCCCCGCAAGTCAACCTTGGAAGGAGACAAGCACATACCTAATCTTTCACTTCGTATTTGGCATCCGTAATGTCTCCTAATTCCAATACAAGACATCCAATGCGCCAATTGATCACTGTACAATCAGACCTGAGACCATGACCAGCCCAAGCCGTGAACAACAAGCCGCAGCACTGCACCACTGCACGCATCGCGCATCACACCCAGACTCTGTAGAAGCCATCCAGAAAGAACGACAGCGCGTCACGCAGGAGTTGCAACCCTTTGAACGCCACCAACTATCGATAGCGACCTCTCATGCTTCCAGCGAGCACCAATTGCAAGACACCTCGTTGCGTACGCGCCCAGCGTCGAACCGAAACTCCACTGCTTCCCGTGAACCTCTGCAGCGCACTGAGTCTCTCGAGAGCTATGCTACTACGCAGCCAGATGCGCCGCGCTCCCGGTGCAGCTCGATTCGAGAACAGCACTGGTACAGCCCGGTTGTGAAGTTTTGGACGACATATGTGAGGTATGGCGGTGTAGCATGTTTTTCTAAAGAGTCAACTGACATACAATAAATAGTCTGACAGTTGACGAAGGAACTCAGCGGGATCATTTAGGTAAGAACACTCTCAAACAGTCCAAACGACCATTGTGCTAATATCCGTCAGCACTCGAGCGTACGTTTCTTGGTTACTTGCGCACCTCTCTCATCCTCGTCATGACCGGCGTAATCATCGCGCAACTCTTTCGAATCCAGCGCTCCGCAAACCCTGATCCTAAGATTGGCTTCTATGTCATTGGTCAGCCGCTCAGCGCGGCGTTCATTTCCATGGCCATCTTTGTTCTTCTTGTTGGGGCAATCCGGTTCTGGAGGCTACAGGATGCTTTAGTCAGGGGTAAAGCGCTTGCAGGAGGGTGGGAGGTGTTTGTGATTATGGGCATGAGTGCTCTTGTGAGTGGGGATCAAGTTGGGTGGATGAACATGGCTAATGGAGCACAGCTACTATTTGCGACGTTCGCGCTGATATTGGCGATTAATATCGACAAGGCTCTGTGATGGACACAAACTTTCCCAACTAGTCGAATCCATGTTGTGCGTGGTCATGCAGAGGTACTCTTGCAAATTACCAACTATGCGAACAAGTGAACAAGCTACCCCAACTATTTGGAGACACAGACTTGATACTAAACTGTAGATAAGGCATGTCAAGAGTCCGCAACAACGTTACGCTACGCTTATCTGCACCATGTGGAGGTGTATATCCTGTACCTGGCTCGATCTGCACAGCCTAGTACCCATTCGGCAATCCGCATCCTACAACCCCGGACGTTGGACGCGGAGATAGTCGTCATGCACCTACTGCACCTTATCACAACTCCCGAGTCGAAGGGAATTAGGTGGTTGACTTATCGCAATCTATCCCAAATCTACCCCAACGCCTTGGTCGCTTGGTGTAGTGGTCAAACACCTGGCTGAGGTGACCTGCCTGCACAAACCTCGTTGGTTCGAATCCAGCAACGATCAAAACCACCTTTGTGTGGAGACCCACAGCTCGCTTAGACAAGCGAGCACCTGCTAGGAAGGAGGCAACTGCACTACTTGTTCAAGTTTCTTAGAGGTTTTTCCCTACGAGGTTTTTACCCTAAGAGGGTACAAGGCATATATACTATAGAAACCAAAGGACTATAGTATGGAAGGAAGACAGTACAGGGGCAAGCTCTTAGGAGGCAAGAATCACGAGGATTGCCTTAACCGGCGAAGGAATGCTCACAACGCGCATCTGCGCCACTCTACCCAAGAAATTGCTTTTTATATAGTAGTGTTAACACGTAATTCTATAGCTTAGCACGTCCATAGATACCCCACGGGAGGTTGAGTTCACTACTCCAAGAGACGTTAAACAATACAATACAATACAATACCCCAACGCCTTGATCGACGAAACGTCGGCTGTAAATATGCCCTATCGACTTCACGCGGTTGGAGATTTCGGATCAGGGCCATGGCAAGAGCAGTATAAGGACAGATGAGACGCTACTCAGCGGAGGCCAATTCCAGTTCAAAGCTCAAAATACGCAATGGCAGGCTCAGCGGCAGCCGTATTGCCTGTCGGCGCTGGCTATGGTAGGCTAGCCCTCACACATCAACGATGATGTCAGCTAACATGAACGCAGGTGTCGTCGTTGGGATTGGCTTCTTCTTCGCTTTCCTGATGATGGGGATCTCCTGGATCCAGAACCGATACACGGTATACTCTACAAAGCAGTCGGAAGAGTTCAACACAGCGTCTCGATCTGTCAAGCCAGGCCTGATAGCATCTGGCATTGTATCAGCTTGGACCTGGGCAGCTACATTGCTGCAGTCGAGCACAGTGAGCATGGGACTTTGCACCACGAGGATGATCTACAGCTGACTTGTGACAGGTAGCGTACACGTACGGCGTGGCTGGTCCGTTTTGGTATGCAGCAGGTGCGACGGTGCAGATTCTTTTGTTCTCCATTCTGGCGTGCAAGGTCAAGCAGAATGCGCCTCGATGCCATACCTACCTTGAGATTATAAACGCCAGATATGGTCGTGTTGCGCATCTGGTGTTCATGGTCTTCGCCTTCATCACGAACATTCTTGTTGGCAGTCAGCTGCTGCTCGGAGGTAGTGCTGTGGTCACCGCTTTGACCGGCATGAATGTCTATGCTGCTATTTTTTTGATACCCGTTGGTTAGTACAAATCCTCTTGGTTCTGCCACAAATCTAACGGTGCTAGGCGTATGTGCGTACGTTATCCTCGGAGGCCTTCGAGCGACATTTCTGTGTGACTACTCACACACTTTGATTCTGATGATCATCATTCTATACTTCATGTTCCACGCCTACGCGACGAGCGAGCTCATCGGCTCGCCAAGCGCCATGTACGATCTGCTGATGAACGCTGCGGCTTCCCGCCCCATCGATGGCAACCACGAAGGCTCCTATGTCACCCTGAAATCAAACCTTGGTCTCATCTTCGGCGTGATCCAACTCTGCTCTGGATCTGGCACCGTCTTCCTCGACCAAGCGTACTGGCAACGAGCCATTGCCTCGCAGCCTTCCACAGCCGTCAAAGCATACATACTCGGAGGCATCGCCTGGTTCGCGATTCCCTTTGGATTCTCAACAACGCTGGGACTGGCGGCAGCAGCTCTCACGGACCATCCCAGCTTCCCTACATATCCAAACGTACCAAGTGCGCATGAAATCTCGTCCGGTCTCGCAGCACCGTACGCGGCCATTGCATTGCTCGGCAAGAATGGTGCTGCTGCGTTGCTAATTGTGCTGTTCATGGCTGTCACGTCCTGTGCGTCGGCAGAGCTTATTGCCGTGTCGAGTCTCCTGACTTTCGACGTCTACAAGGCTTATGTCCAACCGAAGGCTACACCGCAGCAACTTATATTTGTTTCGCACATTATGATCTGCGTGTTTGGCGTAATCATGGCGGTATTTGCGTGCATTTGGAACGCAGCCACCATTGATCTTGGCTGGCTCTTCCTGTAAGTTTTAGCCATCATATTTCGAGTTCACCAAAGACTGACGCGCACACAGGGTCATGGGCTTACTGATTGGAGGCGCCGTATTCCCCGCCGCATTCTCCATCGTCTGGAAGAAGCAAACACGGCTTGGAGCAGTCTCTGGATGCATCTCCGGGCTTACCGCTGGCCTGATTGCCTGGCTGACGACAGCATACCACTACTACGGTGAGATCACCGTCGCCACCACCGGCACCGAATACGCCACGCTCGCGGGCAGCCTGGCTGCCATCATGACGGGTCTCATTGTAACGACGACAATCTCGCTCATCAGGTCGGACGACTTCGACTGGGAGATCACACGAGCAATCAACGCCATACCCGTAACCGAAGGCGTCAGACAGCCAGGCGACGAGACGCCCAAGGACAGCTCCCCGCCCTTTGACAACGAAAAAGACACCAAGTCCTCGCCCCCCTCCCCCATCATTTCAACACCCCCACCATCCACCACCGCGGCCACCGTACCCCCCAACCCAACCACCCCCTCCGTCCCAGACGCCGACTCTCCCGTATCCCTCCGACGCGCATTCAAACTCGCCTGCATCTCGTCATTCCTGCTGACCTTCATCCTGGACTTTCTGCTCCCGATGCCCATGTTCTTCAGCCACTACATCTTCAGCAAGGGCTTTTTCACGGCGTGGGTGGTTGTCAGCTTCGTGTGGGTGTTTGTGAGCAGTGCGATTAGCTGCTTCTTGCCGGTGTGGGAGACGATGCGGTTCTGGGGGGAGCTGTGGGGGCGGGTGCGCAGCGGGGAGGTGGTGGGGGGGAAGTAGGGGTGCGTGTAGTGCTTGGGGAGAGGGAGGTGTAATTTCATGGTTTGGTAGAGAATTGTTTGGGGCTGAGATGTGCTTGCTGTTGGGTTCTGATGTGCTGTGAGCGCCGTGATGTTTGGGTTCGCGAGCTGGTCGTCGAGGAAAAGAAGTAGGTTCACCGTGGAATAGCGAGTTGACCACAATGAAGATACCAATAGGGAAGTAGCCTCTCAAGCAAGTCAAAACTTTGATATTGGTTTGTGTTTGTTTCTCAAGCCAAGAACAGGTGCCAATTCCTGCTGAGTCTAACCTCGAGTCTGGAAATGCCAGAGTTGGCAACAAACAAATCAAGTCCAAATCAAGTCTCTCCACGCAGCACCATCTGGTCCGTGTTAGCGGGCACATACCAACAGTAGGGCCGTTCGCGGGACTTGATTTGATTTAATTTGTTTGTTGCCAACTCTGGGAAATGCCGTCTCGACTTGCACTCAAGCTTAGTGTTGATAGCACAACGCCGTCACCGCACCGAGCAATTTGCACGATGCCACGACGTTTGGACGTTTGAACGTTGGACGGCACGGAATGGCGCCACACATATGTGGGTGGGGTGCGCATTCGGCTCCCCGTGCTTGGAGTGAGCGCAGCTCTGCGTTGGCTGACTAAGCGATGCACACGAGCCACCACCCAGAAGGAATTAATCGGACGGTTGGTGTGGCTTTGTCACCTAAAACCGTCCGATTAATTTCTTCTGGGTGGTGGTAACTAACGTGTTTTACCACTCCTCGGCCAGCCCTACCAGAACCTGTGCAACTCAGCGTACAATTGCTCAACAACCACATATGCAAATTGTCTGAAGATTTGACAAGTAATAGACTAGATTGATCTGCATTGAGTCCTATTGTGTCCCTGTACGTGACACTTGCTGCATGTTGGTGGTGCTTTCCTTCGTACAGGACCAGGCTCAGCTTGGTGACCCTGTTCGACACCTCTCTCAGCCTCTGCGACTAGCGCCTGACCCTCATGAGCCTGCAAAGCACCTCCACGAGCTATATATTGTCTGCTCTGTTGACGCTTACGTTTCTGGCGTTGGTTTGAGGCACGTAGCTTCTGATTTTCCTGAACAAGCATGGTCGCTGACTGCATAGCAAGCTGACAACCCTTGACGAGCTGGCTAATTGCCTGACTAGTAGGGCTCTGAGACTGGCGACGGAGTAGGTCCTTGATAAGTCGAGCCTGCTGCTGCAGCTGGTCGGTTGTACGTGGAGTCTCAGCAGTCCAGGGCTCTCCTGAAGCAGCAGTTGTCCCTAGTGGAGACAGAGTTCTGACAACAGTAAGGTTGCTCAAGACTCGTTCAGGACAGTATGGGATAAGCCCTGTCGCTTGAAAACCTGCCTTAATATTGCGTTCAGACAGGCTTGTCAGCCGAACTCTCTTATATATCCATAGGAACTCAAGCTTGTCGATATGGAAGACTCCTAGCCGGGCAAGCTCAGACACCTTATGTCCGTATATCACCTTAAGAGGAGAGTAACAGCCGACATCAAGAGGCTGCAGGAGATGAGAGGTATGAGGAGGCATACAGAGGGTGATAATCTTGTTGTCCTTGCAGAATTGATCAAACTCTGGTGTAGCGTGGCTCTCGTGGCCGTCAAGGATGAGCAGTCTGTACGATCCTCTGGTGTGAGACTCTGTATGTCTGTTGAAGTGCTTTATCCACTCAAGGCCAAGCTCGTTGGTTGTCCATCCATTGTCACTAACACCAATAACCTAGTTAGGTGGGATATCCTTATACCAGCTGGCCTGGTGGAGTTTTCCTTTCGGGATCACAAAGGGTGGAAGACGCCAGCCAGACGCGTTGATATACTCAATTGCTGTCACCCACTCTCGATCACCTGGATCAACAGTAGTTGCTCGACCAACAGTGTCAGAGCTAGTGACAACCTTTGACGTTGATGCGACACCCATCATGAAGCCTGTCTCATCAAAGTTGTACACATCCTCCTCAGGAATTCCGTAAGTCGTGCGTGTCCTGTACAAGCTTGAACCAAGCTCTAATTGAGACAGGATCCTCACACAGAGCCCTCTGAGAATGTAATTTCCTGTTCCATTTTGTCTGAAGCTCTGCCTGGTTCTTGATCCACCGCGACACCCAGTTCTTGCCAACAGGAGGAGGAGGATTTTGGCCGCGGGCAAAGAGTAAACTGTCTGCCAT